TTTTATCTGTTGATTAGGGCCGGAGGAAAGTATTGTTGGGTTGGTTGCCTACCTACGTTTTCCCTCCCACCCACACCTTTGCATGCATTTCCGGGTTGGTACAGTGCCACGTCAGCAGTGCCACGTCAACAACAGTGCCATGTCAGCAACAGTGCCACGTCAGCAACAGTGCCACGTCAGCAGTGCCACGTCAGCAACAATGCCACGTCAGGAGTGCCACGTCAGCAGTGCCATATCACAGTGCCACGTCAGCAGCGCCCCGCCACCATGACGGGCGCAGCTCTGGGCACGCCAGGCCAACTGGCCAACGAGTCTATTGCCAACTACAAACAGCGGGTCCAGACTCAACTCACACTGATCGAGGCTGAGGAACAGCGCCAGCTGGCAGCCGAGGCTGCCCTTCTACAGGCTGAAGCAGACAGAGATGCCCAGGCACGCCGCAAGGAGGCCCAGGATCTGCTGCAGCGGCATGAAGCCGTCAGCATCGAAAAACTCAAGTTCTGACATTTTCAACCGTCCAACGGCGACGACGCGACACTGGAGGAGCAGCACAAGCAGTTCCTCTCCAAACTCGTGACACGGTTGTTATACGCTTGCAACTATCAACAGTCCGAGTTAGCGAGACAGAACCAGGAACTGCAGCAACAGTACCAGGATCTGAAGAAACAACACCAGGAGTTGGCGAACCTCCGCCGGAYAGTGCAGAGCCACGAGGATGCTACACTGGCACTCAATTCCCGTGTACTGGACCTGGAGCAAGCTGTACCAGGACCAAACGCTGGGGTATCCAACAGTGCACCCTCTAACCGCCAACTGGAGGAACGCGTCGACCACGTCGTCGCAATTCTCGGCGACATCAACACCTTCGCTGAGCCGACCGCCATCAGCAATCAGCTGGATGCCTTGAAGACCGAAGTCCAGCAACTGCAGTTGCCTAACAAGAATGGCAACAACACACATCATTACAAGATGCCAACTTTTCAAATTGAGAAGCTCGATGACTATGCGCATCAGGACCCGGTCCTCTGGTGGGAAGGTTTCACGACGCAACTTCGGATTCTGCAAGTCGCCAAGCACGCGTACGTCGGCGCCCTGTTTCTTAACTCAAAGGGCGGATGCCAAATCTGGTTAAGCCACCTGGCATCCACCCACGGCGTCGACGTCGCAGATCTGAAAGACAAGATCTCATGGGAAGAGTTAACACGACTATGGAAGGAGCGGTTCATCGTGGACGACGCACCTGCACTCGCCATCAACCGTCTCTTCGCCATGACGCAAGGCAACACAGCAACACGTGACTGGCTCATGGAATGGCAGAAGATCGCGGCAACACCCGATCTGGACTTATCATTTTCGCATCTACGCCGCGAGTTCTATAACAGGTCATGTGCTGCATTGAGCCTCGCACTGGGTGATCGCGAGCAGTATGCAACCTTCGCTGAGATCATTGACAAGGCGAGGGAGATCATCAAGACCAACAGGGCAGCTGCACACGAGAGGTCAACGTGGCAGCCGACCTATGTGGAGAAGGTAAAGACTGGTCCGCAGCCACAGCATGTCGCTGCAGTCCAATCGGAGAGTGGAGAAGACCCGGCAGCCGCCCAAGCATCACGTGAGGGAGATCAGGTGGCTTCTGTCCAGCCGCAAAGCAACAACAAGTCCCGAGGTAATGGGAAGGCGAAATCAGCATCGCAGGCCGGAAACGGACAGCCAACACCATGGGTCAAGTTCAACTTGACCGAAGACGAGTACAAGTACCGCGGCCGTTACGGCTGCTGTTACTGGTGCAACAGCACCAAGCACAAGACCTCCCTTTGCCAGGATTAGGCCAAGGAGGATGTGCGGCCTCGTCTTAGCTCGGGAAACTGAGTTCCGCGGGAGGTGAGGCGACTCCACCTCCCACTCTGCCAGATAAGTCCGCCTTGCTAGCGACCTCCTACACATCTGGGGAGGATGCGAATGTCGTAAGTTCTCGGTATACTTACGAGGACTATGCTATCCACTTGGTCCCACCGTTGGACCAACCGCTCCATGTGGAACAATCTACCGCATGCACGGTTTCATCACCATTGGCAACCGATTCGGCAACTTCGCTGCAATCTATCGCCAGGGATTCGACGTCATGGTCAAGACTTGAAGAGCTCGACCCGTTGACGTTCACGGACTTCCAGTGGATGCCCGTTCCCCCGACCGGTCGATTGCCGAAACCGCATTGCAACGTGCTCATGGCACAATTGCGGGATTACTTGCACACTGCAGTACCGACTCCGTTGATGGACACCGGAGTAGAGGTTGTCAACCTTCGCGCCTACATTGCGAAGATCGACCGCGAGTTCAAGACGCAACGGTACGACGACATCGACGCACCATTGCTATATGTACACATTCAGATCGGAGAGGTGACCTGCAGCGCTTTGATCGATTGCGGAGCATCTCGAAACTACATCAGCCAGGACTTCATGGTGCGCGCCGGCCTTGGCCCACGCGTCCGGAGGAAGTCCCAACCTACGCAAGTCACGTTGGCGGACGGTCACACGCACAAGTCAATCGACCGGTGCATTGATGACGTCCCAGTGTACTTTGCCCCTCACTCAAGTGAGGCGGTGTCCTTTGACATTCTGGACACCAAATTCGACATGATCTTGGGCATGTCATGGGCGAAGCGAGGATCACCCGGTGAACTTCTACCACCGCACCGTTCACATTCGTGATCGGAACAGAGTACTAGTCCCATGCACGGTGCCTCTTCCTCATCCTTCGATCAGCTGCCACGTGGTATCCGCCGCAAGCATGCGAGTTTCAATCATCATCAGAGACGACATCGAGGAGATGGGGGTGTGTTTTCTCCACGCCCTCCCGCCCTATGACGCTTCATCGACGGACTCTTCTTCGGATCCACGCATCACCGAGTTTCTCGATGCTTACGGCGACATGTTCGAAGGCCCGCACGGAGTAGTACCGGATCAGCCCATCCGCCACGAGATCATCCTCGAGGACGGGGCCGTACCTCCGCGCGGTTGCATCTACCGAATGAGCGACGAAGAGTTAAGTGTGCTTCGGGCACAACTCGACGACCTTCTGGAGAAAGGATGGATTCGGCCTAGTTTATCGCCATACGGTGCTCCTGTTCTCTTCGTCCGGAAGAAGAACAAGGATTTGCGGTTGTGCATCGATTATCGCAAGCTCAACGCGCAGACGATCAGAAACGCCGGCCCTCTCCCACGCATCGACGATCTTCTCGAGCGACTGGGTGGCGCCAAGTTTTTCTCCAAGCTCGACCTCAAGTCAGGATATCACAAACTCGAGATTCAGCAGAAGGATCGCTACAAGACCGCGTTTAAGATGCGATATGGGCATTTTGAATAGTTGGTTATGCCATTTGGCCTTACGAATGCCCCGGCCACTTTCCAAGCGGCTATGACAACGGAGTTCCGACACATGCTGGATCGATACGTACTTATCTACCTCGACGACATCCTGGTGTACAGCCGGAGTTTGGACGAGCATGTGGAACACCTGCGCACCGTTTTGGAGCGGCTACGACAAGCCAAGTACAAAGCCACCTGCGACAAGTGCGAATTCGCGCTGCAGGAGCTGGAGTACTTGGGACATTATGTGACGCCGCAAGGCATCCGTCCGCTTGCGGACAAGATCGAGGCCCTACGAGTATGGCCCGAGCCCACCAACACCACGGACGTTCGTTCATTCATGGGGTTGGCGGGCTACTATTAGCGATTCATCACCGGATACTCCGGGATTGCTGCACCTATGACGCGATTACAATCGCCAAAGGTGCCATTCGTATTCGATGACGACGCACGCCGGTCATTCCAAGCACTCAAGACGGCCATGCTCATGGCACCCGTCCTTAGCATCTATGACCCCACCCTGCCGACGAGAGTAACTACGGACGCTTCCGGCTATGGAATTGGGGCAGTCTTGGAACAGCACGACGACGACGACTGGCACCCTGTGGAGTATTTCAGCCACAAAGTGCGTCCTATCAACTCGCTTGATGATGCAAGGAGGAAGGAGCTGCTCGCATTCGTGATGGCTCTCAAGCGCTGGCGACACTTTCTCCTTGGGCGTCGTAGGTTCACATGGGTCACAGACAACAATCCATTGACCTACTACAAGACGCAGGATACGGTGAGCATCACGATCGGACGATGGATGTACTTCATCGACCAATTTGACTTCACACCGAAACATCTTCCCGGCCTCTCCAATCGCGCAGCAGATGCACTCTCGCGAAGACCTGATCTTTGCGCTATGACACATCATGCCTTCGCATTCGACGAGGAGCTCCAGCGACACTTCATCAGGGGCTATGAGTCCGATCCAGACTTCGCCACGCTATATGCGCAACTATCTTCGGATCACCAGCCGGCCAGCCACTGTCGCATCGCCGATGGGTACTTGCTCCTGCACTCGCGGGGCAAGGACTTTCTATGTGTCCCACGCGACCGCCGTCTTCGGACTCGCCTCCTCGGCGAGTATCATGATTCGCGACTCGCCAGCCATTTCGGAGTCAACCACACTATTGCACGGCTTCGACACAGATTCCGATGGCCCGACCTCATCACCGACGTCACGAGGTATTGCGACTCTTGCGAAGTTTGCCGACGCAGCAAGCCCCGCAACCGCAATCCCTACGGCGAGTTACACCCGATGCCTATCCCACGGGAACCCGGTCTCTCCATTGCCATGGATGTCACCGGACCATTCCCCCGCGACCGCCTCGGACACGGCGGCATCCTCACGGTCGTGGACCGATTCAGTAAGTACGCGCGTTTTCTCCCTTGCAAGTACTACTCCACGGCTCCCGAGCTGGCACGCCTCCTGCACACCGACTGGATTTGCGGCCATGGTGTACCGGAAGATATAGTCAGCGACCGCGCGCGTCATGTCGGCATTTTGGACTGCGCTCATGCAGGAGTCCGGCACGAAGATGAAGCCAAGTTCAGCTCGACATCCACAGACAGACGGGCAGACGGAGCGGGCACATCAGACCGCTCAAATGATGCTTCGTACGCTCATCCGTCCGGACCAGAAAGATTGGGTTGACCGCCTCCCCGACATCGAGTTTGCCTACAACACTTCGGTGCACCCGGCGATCGGCGTGACTCCATTCGAGTTGCACCACGGTGGACGTAAAGGCCGTATCTTCGCCGACCTTCTCCTTTCACGACCAGCCGACATCGATGCCTCTTGCTCTTCCGCTTCCGTCCAGAAGTACAGGGAATTGCTGGCTCAAGCCCGCGCGAATATGCAAAAGGCTCAAGTCTGCATGCAGCAGCAAGCCAACAGGCATCGGGTGCCATGTCCCATCCGCGCCGGCGACCTGGTTTGGGTTTCCGCGGAAGAGTTTGCACTAGAACAGGATGTCTCACGCAAACTGCTTCCCAAGTGGTTTGGACCATGGCCCGTAACATCAGCCGCGGGCGATGAGCCCGATGGCCCTTCATTTGTGATCAACATCCCCCTGCATCTGACGGTCCATCCAGTTTTTCACGCCTCAAAGCTAGCAACATACACGCCAGCTAAGAGCGATGACTTTCCGGGCCGACGATCGCAGGACCCTCCTTCAGAATCTATGGATGGTCATCAAGAAGTTGACCGCGTCATCACCGATCGCAAGTACGGTAGCAAGCCGCGATAGCACAAAGTTACATTCAAAGCCTGCGATCGCTATGACACTCGGTGGATTTCAGGAGCAGATTTGAAAGCATCCGCACCGCTGATCTACGCGCATTATGAGAAGCAAAGGTTAGCTCAGGAAGCTTCACGACCGGCCCCTCCCACCCGGACTGTGGTCCCTCCCTCAGACAGACAGCTCTGCCCTCGCAGGTAAGCTCGGTCTTTCAAGGAGGGGGGGGTGTGGCATACTGCGTAGCCACACGGGCCCTGCAGGGCCCGTCCCGCACTTTCAGCCTAAAAGCCTAGAAAATAGGGCTTACAGGCCCCGGTCGTTTCACCCTGAAACTGATAAAAGAGGGCCTGCAGGCCCTATTCCGTTTTCAGCCTATTTTTGGGCCTTTCAGGTCCAGAGGTTTTTCAGCCTGAAACGGAGGGCCATTTTGAGGCCCTCATTGTGTTCGACCTACCCTAAGACTTAGGCACAAAAACAGGGTTTCGGGAAACAGGCTATTTCTGGCCTGTTCCCCACGACAACTCAAGCGGGAGCTGCAGCGGCAGCCCCTGCCTCCCTTTGGCATTGACGAGGCAGAGCAGCCTCCTGGACTGCCTCGCCTGCAGTCAGGAGGCACCTGAGTAGTACATAGGAGGTTCCCACACACTTCACAGGTAGGTAGTTGGACAGTAGGACGAGAAGTCTTCAGGATTCGGCCGCAACACTCAGGAGGAGCGCTGCCAGGAGTAGCTTAGCGCTAGCAGTATCCTTCAGCGCTGGGCGCTAGTAGCCATAGCAGTAGTCTTCAACGCTGGGCGCTAGTAGGTGGTAGTGGTAGTGTGGGAGAGAGATGGCTGGCGGATGCCAGCGAGACTTACCTGTGGCGAGATAGCTCCAGCTCCATCTTCGAGGTACCTGCATCAAGGCGCCATCTTCACAGGTTAGTACTGGACAAAGAGAGAGAGAGAGAGAGAGAGAGAGAGAGAGAGAGAGAGAGAGAGAGAGAGAGAGAGAGAGAGAGAGAGAGAGAG